TGCGAAGACGTTTTGTGCGAGAGCACGATTCCAACGTAAATTGTAGGGAAGCGTGCTAGAGAGCGGTTCCTGGGCATCGATTGCGCAGCGCCTGAGTAGTCCCAAGCGAGAAAGTCCCAAGCCAGAGCGCGACTCCAGAGTAAATTGCACAGTAATCTCGAGTGGCAGCGAGATTCCTAAGCAAATAGCAAATTTGGAAGAATGTCGGACGGGAGGCGCTGTTGTTGTAGCCGGGGCCGGGCACAGCGTAACGCCCAAGGCTTCCCCAGGCCAAAAAAACAAGGTGCGAGAATCGGGAGCGGCGCTTGAAGTGAAAAGGCGCAGAAATCATTTACAACTAAAACGTAATGCGAACATAGTCAACCCTTGTGTGGATTGGCGCCCCCCCGAGGGCGACAATGATCGCCACCCGCTGCAGCTTCTGCTCGACTGCCGGCAAACGCAAGCTCCCCCCCCCCAGGTCCACGACGTCGCGATCTTTTCAGGACGTGGACCCCCAGAGGTCTGGACCCATTTCCCGGGACGGGTTCTTCGTCCTGAAACGTTTTTGTTGACGGTCCCAGAGCCCGGTGAAGGCCACCCGAGGCCGAAAACGTGCAAGAATCTACAGACGGTCCAGAGGCCAAGCGGCTGCCGCTCCTGACCAAGAAGCGGCTGAGGAAGCGACCGTCCGCCGTGAGCGGCGGCGGCTGCCAGCCTGGGACCGGGCCTCTCCTCGCACCAGGCACCTCCCTATTCCCCTCACCTCTTCTCTCCTCTTTCACCTTCTCCTTCTCCTCGAGGAGAAGGGGGAGTCACTCCTCCTCCTCCTCCTCCTCCTCCTCCTCCTCCTCCTCCTCCTTCGCCTTCTCCTCATCCTCCTTAGCCTTCTCCTCATCCGCCTCTTCCTCTTCCTCCTCCTCATCCTCGTCCTCCTCCTCCTGCTCCTCCTTCTCCCCCTCCCCCTCCCCCTCCCCCCTTCCCTCCCCTTCCTTGTCCCACTTCCTCTCCGATCCCCAATCCCTCTGCTATATACTCCCACTTTGCCACCTAGCTGGCCGATAGCATCCAGAACCGGCAGGTCCCATCTGACCTGGCAAAAAGACCATGCAACAAACATGCTGTTTCGACTCGGCATGGACATTCTGTCGCCCATGCAGCAAAATGCGTGGCAGGCCGCAATGTCGCTCTTGCCTCGGCACCGCGATCATCTTTTAGAGAGCTGAATTCCCGCTTCGGCGAAGCGCGCATGGTTTGCGCGCGACGTCGTCGACGCGCGCGCGGGCGAAAATGTCGCTCTCGCCTCGGCGCCGCGTAGATTTCGCCTCAAAGTGCCGCTCCCGCCTCGACGCGGCGCACAGTCGAAACTCGCCACTGTGTTGGGGCCCGCGCGGCTGGGCGACTTGTCGCCCTCGCCCGAGCTCCGTGCGCAAATCGCTCGGGAAGTCGCATGACAGCGACGGCTGCAGCGGGGCCGCGCGAGAGCGGGCGCAGTGCCGACTCCGCCCAAGCGCCGCGCAGCTCGTGAAAGTGCGCAGCGCTGCGTCAGCAGCGGCGCACGCTTCGCCTTCGCCGCGCCCATCGGAAGCTCTGCCACGGCCCGCCCCTGCGCGGCCCGCATAGCTCTCCCTTCGCCGAGCCAACGGCAGCAGGACCGCGCGCGAGCGCCCTCCGTTTGCGAGGCGAGAGCAGGCTCCAAAACGCCATGCCGAATTGTTACGTGATGATTCTCATGCTGTGGGCCAGCGGCGGGCTGCTGACCCTCTCGACCTGGCGAACTTGACTCCTCCTCCCCCCCTCCCTTCCCCCCTTCCCTCCCCCTCCCTCCTCCCCTCCTCCCGGAGCCCCTCCCGCGCGTGGCCCGCCCACGCAGGGCCCATGCAGCACCCCGCCGCCGCCCACAGCACGCACGGGCTGCCGAGGGCCCCCGAGAGGCCCCGAGTGCCATCGAGAGGCCCCAGGAGGCCTCCAAGCGGGCCTCCGAGGGCCTCTGAAGGACCCCCCCCACGGCACCCCCGCGATGTGGGCCCTCCGCCACCGCCCACGGCGGGCGCGGAACCCGCTGGGCCGGGGGGCCGCTGGGGCCGGGCGGGGCCTCGTGGGCGAAGTGGGACGGCACCCGCCGGACGGGACCCCTGTGGCCACCCGCCACCGCCCGCGGCATGCGCGGGACACGATGGGCGGGGCCACGCGGGTGAAGTCCTCCGCCGCCCGCCGCGCACAAGGCGGCCTTCAGGCCGGAGCCCTGTGGCCGGGGCGCGGCCACCCGCCCGCGACACGCGCGTGGCCTTTCGGGCGGGGGCGGGTGACGACGGGAGAGGCAGGAGGAAGAGGAGGAAGACTTCGCTGTGCTCGCATGGGCAGCGTACAGGAACGTCTGTCCCGTGGGCGAGACAGCCGAGTGTCTCGATGCGGGTCTCGACGGGTGGCGAGGGTCAGCTCCGAGAGGGGGACGCGGGGGGCGACGATGAAGGACGAGGAGGAGGAGGAGTAGGAGGAGGAGGAGGAGGAGGAAGAAGGACGAGGAGGAGAAAGGGGGGGACGGGGGGGAGCCTCCGTTGTGAGGACGAGGAAAAGGGGGGATGCAGGGATGTGGGATAGAGAGGCCTGGCGAGGCCGCCGAGCAATCGAGGCCTGATGCAAATCCAGTCTCAGATTCGCCGACTCTTGAACCCCGTGAAGCTGCTTCTCGGGCCGTGGGGCGGAGCAGGGGGGGAGGACCGTGAGGCGCGGCAAGGGATACTGGCAGCTGTGTGTTCGCCCAGGGCGACCGTCGTCGAACGCCTCAGGGTCCTTGGTGCGGAACGAACAGCGCCGAATGAGCTGCTCGAGCGTGCCAGCCGACAAGTTGTTACGCTCCAGCACCTGGGACGTCGCAAGAGGGAGAAGAAAGGGTGAGGGAGCAACGATGAACGCGGAAGGAAGGAGGAAGGAGGGGAGAGGGACGCCGGAAAGAGGAGGACGCAGGATGACGCATATGAACAGAAGGGGGGGAGGAGGAAGATGTGGTGTTTCGGCGGCGTTCGGAGGGGCGAGAGCGGAGAACACGAGGGGTTCGATCCCTCACGGGGCCCCGAATGCCGAATCTACCCTGAATCGGCGCGTTCCCCCAGAACAACAACCACAACATCCTCAATTGGGAAGTCAACCACATCTGCCAGCGCCCCGGCACGCATGAATACTAGAACCACGCTCCCTTCGCGCGAGCTCAGGTTCTAGTCACTGCTGCGCCACGTTTTACGGCTCTTGCTTTCGCCCGTCTGGTCGCCGGCATTGCGAAGTCCGCTGCATGTGGGCGTTGCAGAGCCTCCATCCGCCTCGGCCCCCTCCCCATCCCCCTCCCTCGTCATCGTCCTCCTCGGCCTCCTCCTCCTCCTCATCCTCCTCGTCCTCCTCCTCCTCCCCCCTTGACCGCTCGGAAAGATTCGTCCATTCTCACCATCCTCTCTGCGAAGACCTCGCCACCACTGAGGAAGGGAGACGACGAGGGCTTCCGCACCCGGCGGCGCCTCGTAGAACGGCTGCAGCTCGTTGACCAGGCAGACAAACTGCGTCAACCGCTCGATGGGGGGAGGCAGGTCGGACGACGTAGGCCAGGATAAGTGGGACCGAGGCATGTGGGGAACATGCCCAGGAGGACAGCGAGCGCTCCCAGGTGCGCCCCCGAGCGCCTCTTACGATTCCTCTGATGTGTGTCCGCTCCGCAAAGTGCTGCACAAGAGCGTACCTTGTCATCGCCCCTCCTCCTTTGCCGCTCACAGCACTTTTGTCCATCCGATGGGGCTAGCTCTCTTGCGAGCCGCGGGGGGACGAACGAATGGTACTGACCCGTATCGCCAATGGCCGGATTATACTTGCCATCTTCGGCCGCGTCTTTCTGGGGTGGGGGGAAATACCGCCAACCCTTCTCCTTCTGACAAACTTCTCACTGTCGCACCCCGAGACGTGTCGGTGGGGCGGGCCCGGCGTTTCGCTTGAGACGTCCTCACCATACATGGTCTTCAAGCTCAGAAATTGCAAGAGGTTCACGGATGGAGGGCGGGTGGTTTGCAAGCTGTTGCTCCCGCCTTGGCGCCGCACGCATTCGCCTTGAAAGTTTGCAAGGGCTTCACGGATGTACGGCGGTCGTTTTCAAATTGTGGTTCCCCCCTGACGTCGCGGACACTCTTCTTGAAAGTTCGCACGGGCTTCACGGGTGGATGGCGGATCCTTTTCAAAATGTGGCCCTCGCTTTTAGCGCCGCACGCATTCGTCTCAAGAGCTTGTAGCCATGTTAAGGATCCGTATGTCTTACGTGCGAAAATGGTGTATGGGCGCGATGTAGGACTGTCAGGGCGCAACAGTCACGTTGACTCGCGGTGTTGAAGTCCCAGGAACGGCGCTCTGGCACAATCGAGGCTCGTCATGGCGCAACAGTGCGGTTGATTCGCGGCGTTGAAGTCCCAAGACCAATGTTTTGGCAAGGTTCACGGTTTTCGAACGGTTGTTTTCCACCAGGGCACTTCATTCAGTGACAATAAATCCTTGTACGGGCCTGCGAAAAGAAAACTTGGAAGGAAGGTTCCGTGCAACATCGTGGATGAGTCTCGGGCTTGCACTGGTCCCCATCCTTCTCCTCCCCCCTTCCAGTTCCCCTCTTCCTCCGCCTCCTCCTCCTCCTCCTGCTCCTTATCTCGCCTCCTATGGTCTCGTCCCTGCACTGCTGTAATGCGTCCGTTGACCTTCGCTCGAACGCTGAGCATGAACACATTGATCGTGTCTTACCGTGCGACTCCCACTGGCCCTCTGGACGCAGGTGGTAGAATTGTTCTGTTCTGTCCTCTTCCTAAAGCCCCTTCTTCCCTTGCTCGGAAAAAAAAGGTTTACAGCTCCCACGACTCCCCCATCCCCTGGGGTTTTGCGGGGGGCGCGAGGTGGCAGACGGTCCATTTGGGCCCAAGATGGTTTCAAGATGACCCCCGACGCCCCAAGATGGCCTCCAAGATGGCTCACGATCTTGGGAGATGGTCCACGACAGCCTT